AGGTTCGGTTTTTTCAATGTTTCCAGGTTTTTAGCGATCCTGACAAACTTTTCCTCTTTCTGTATTTTTTCGTTGCACTTTTGTTTGTCAGGGAATTCGAATTACCTAAAATACCGCCTGGAGAGACCAGTTCAAGTTCGGGATGGATTGATCACGGACCAAAATGTACGATACGCACTCAATTTAGCGCCACTGCGCCTACAGTGGGCCATACCTGCACCGAAATAGGCGTCACCGAGGGCAAAATTTTTACTTCGGTCCTAGAGTAGCCTAGACACCGAGGAAAAATGGACCAACAATATGATGCGCCGAGCTGCCAGGTCAAATCGGAGAGCCCATCAGCGGTACGCAGGGTACTTGGAATGGGCTATGCTGACTGAAAAATTCAACACTCGGTTGCAGGCGGCACAGAGGGCAGAAAAAATGGTGGATATCAGCAAAGGTCATAATAGGCAAAGCACACTCGCAATGATCAGAAGCTCACCCATAGAAAGCAGTGCGTATTATTAAGTAAGCGGGCTTTTATAAGTCTCAACTAACTAGCTACATAACAACTCGGTTCTGAGAAGGTCCACAGACTTGAAAGTAGGTGTTAGAGTCTAGCGGAAGAGGGGAGATCATAGATTAGTGGCAGCAGGAACCTGCTCCCTAACCTCACTCCGGGTGATGTTTGCTTCTAACTTATGATTCAGTCCTCAGATCGCTCAGAGAACAAGGAAGAAGTGGATATAACCTGAAACACCGAAGTGCGTAGAGATCGCCATGAAAGGGGAGATCATATCAGACCGAATGATGGAGCGTGCCCCAAACTGTGTGAGGTTTGCCAGAAGAGTAGACTCCAAATGCCAATAGTGAGCATGGGGTTTACCGGTGAGCGGCTATGAAATGTATAAAGTTTCGAAAATGCCCAGAGAGCGAAAAAAAATCTACAGAGGCTCGCGAGTAAAAATGATCAGGTGTTAATAAAGGAGCGTGCATTCCGCGGGTGGAGCTATCACAAAAATCTTGTACTTTGCTTTCTTGTAATTCCAATGATCGGGAAAGAATTGACAGATAATAGTGAAGACTTTAGATCAACCGTTACGATGTGCAGAGCTGGAGTCTAAACTTTCATTCGTCCCATTCCATACGTGAAGGGAGCATATTATGCGCTATAGTGCGCAGTACCACACTAATATTGATATAAAAATATTGATAATATAGTATTAATCCAAAACATAGTGAAGTATTATATCCCGGCCATGATCTGTACATAGCACTATCTTTCACAGTGAGTATTTACCAAAAATAATTCAAAAGTGTTTCTTTCAAAGGCAGATCTTATGACGCAAAGGCAGCTCATTAACCCATTCGCGACCGCGCCGGTTTGCGCATTAGCAGGAGAGTCAGGAGATTTTTCTTCAATAAAATTTGAGTGGATGGAGATTTCCCCTGCCCAGGGCTGGCGTAGATGAATGAGGGTATGAAGATTCTTTTCAGGAAAGAAAACTTTCCAAATTCCATTTGAAACACGGCAGCCACCGGTGGATACCATTGTCCGAGTGAGATCTTTGTCAGCCACCGGTGGCTGCCATTGTCACGAATGGGTTAAAAAAGGCAGAGTGGTTACTGGTACTGGGAGGGGGAGGGGGAAGAAGAAACCATCAAAAAGTGCCTAGAACACGAGAAACAGGGCTCCTTCCTTGCTCGCTGATTTCTGCACTGATGCAACTCTCAACGGTGCTACCCTCTTCTACGCTAGCGTTCTCTCTTGAAGGCTGGATGGTTAGACAGGAAAAGGGAGCGTATCGCATCGGTAGCGCCGCGGTGGGGGACTCTTAGATCGCCAGGGACAAAACCTTCGGTGCGAATTGCGTATCAGTCCGCAACTGTAGGAGGTCCACTTTCCACCGGGTAACTTTCCCTTCTTCGACCTTCGTCCTTATCGTAGGATCCTCTTGAACACATTCACGCCGATGGCCGCCCATATGGGCTGCCAACAACATGCGCTCCTGGGACGATGGCAGCCCATATGGGCTGCCAACTGATAATCGCTTGCCAGGCGCTAGGAATGGACAGATAGGTGGGCAAACCTCGTAATCGAGTGTAAAATGCTTTTAAATTCCTTCACGGGGAAAGTGAATAAATGCTCTCTTTTCGTAACCACTATTTGTCGTTCTGATCGAAATCCTACTGTTATATGTTTAGATAATCTTTACGCATTGGACAAATTATTTTGTGACATTCATGTTTTTGTTCATTTACAAAACAAAATCTGCGGTTATGTGGTGAGGCGGCGGCGCCCACAAAATCGCGTCCGTCCCACGCGACCGAAAAGTGGAAAAGGGGCGTCGTCGTGAATGTGTTAAGCTATCCTTCTTATTTTGGTAGTAGTAAGCTGATGCATTGGTTTGAGAGAAACGAAATTTCAACGGTTTTGCATTGCGTTCTCACAACGCAAAACAGTTGAAATTGCCGTGCTTTGCCTGCGTTGTATAGGCAACCCACCGCACTGGAATCCATTTTTTGAAAACATAGAGAAATCGCCTGAGTCAGTGTGGTAAAAGCTATGGTCATGCTGAGCGTAGGCGAACTTTTAGAGTCACTATGCATCTCAAATCTATTCCTAGAGAGCAGATCACTAGCAAAGTGCGCATCAGCTTTGAAAATCCTGCTTCCATGACCGAAACTCTCGGCGTGTTCATTGCTTTCACTCAAGATTTCTTCTTGTTTAGCAAGTTACCTTTAGACGCAGTTCCTTCTCGTGCACGATGTTTTTCACAAGTAATGCGGCCGGACATATGAATGACAGAATCACAAACAGGCCCAGAAATATGGCGATGTTGAATCTGAAATCATTTCAAAAATTCCGAATTGAAACCCATAAAGATAGAAATGTTAGAAAGCTCACTTGTCATATGCAACACATGGATAGGGTTCCTGCTGAGAATACATACCATACGGACGCTTTGACTTCACACGAAGGCCTATGATCGCCCGTTCTACAGCTTCTAAAAGTAATGAGCTCTAGAATGAGACTATCACTTGCTACCATTGGCGATGAACGCACCTTGAAGGAATGAGAAACCGTAAGTAAGATATTTCAGATCGGTGAACGGCAGTTTGCGATCGAATACCCGTCGTGGACTGTCTTCGTAGAAGTAGGTGTCTGGAGAAGATTTCCATTATAAGTAATCTTCAACAAATCACTTCTAATGATACTGAAAAGGCACAAGCGACACACATGATAGTGGCAGTCTAAAGGAAATTCTACGACGATATTTTTGAGTAATTGGCCAATGCGCACATTTGCTACTTCATCGGCTTTCTCACAAGAAAAGGGTCACAGGTCGAAGAGGCCATTTGTAACCTTGCTACATAAGATCTGAAGCTCAAACCTGCCCGCCAAAACTTTGTAATCGACTTAAAGGCAGGGTTTATGATGAAAAAACAGCTCACGAGAAATCGAGGGATAGATGGTCAGTGCTGAAGGATGAGGCAAAAACCATGAGAAAAGGCCAGATTGCCGAGAACGGTTACTCTTCATTGCCCCTGGTTTCAGCACTGATGAGACTCTCACCGGTGCTGCCCTATTCAACGCTAATGGTCTCTCTGCTAAACGGCTAGATTCAAACGAGAGGGTGGGTATGTCGCGGCGCGCCTATCGCTCTGCAACGCTTCTGGGATTTATTCCACGATGCCAAAAGCGTCCTGCATACTCGTAGGAGGATCTCACGACAACGAAGTTCGAAAAGGGAGAACTAACTTTCTAGAGAGACACTCAGGACCTCTTGAATCCGACACGAATGCGACTGGGTCGACACGCAATTCTCATCGAAGGATCATCGAAAGATATGCCCCGACAATCTCCCCTCCCCGCAGCGCTGTCGGCGCGCGTCCGCGTGGTACACCCCTTTTGGGTTGTCTGAGCCTCTAGCTGTTTAGCAGGAAGGCCGTTGGCTTTGGAGAAGGTAGAAATAATGAGAGTCACATCAATGCGGAAATTAACGGGCACTGAAAGAGCGACTTCCTAAGTTTTAGACCGTTTTTTTTTCTTGTTTTTTTTTCTTCTTTTGTGTTTGAATGGCACTGATCATGTCCAACTTGATTTTCCAATAGACTGCGCTTCATCTTGGAATTCTCCCTCAATAGACCCTTCTACCTTTTGACTTGGTACACTTATCTTTTTTCGATCTCCGACCTCATCGTGAAATCCTTCTCAATGAATCACCAGTGAATGGGTGAAGTCTGTGGTGGGTGGGACATGGTCCAGGGTGTACGGAGAACCCATGAATTATGGAAAACTCGCAGCCAGTAGAAGCCGGTAGCTACCAAGACCATTAATGACATAAAAAGACGCCACAGAGAAAAAATGATGAAGATGAGCAGTGCCTTGGATGTACAGGCACATAGAATCTCCGATCTCATCGTGAAATCAAGCGCCAAGTCTAGGAACTTGTTATAAAGGAAAGACCATATACATTGACGTTTCGGCCAAAACTAAATTGTGCTGCATTTATCGCGAAACTTCCAATCCGGTTCAAAAAATGCCCAGAGGCAGGACAAAAGTGGGTAGACATTTGTAGAGCCGTACAAATTGAAATGCTGAAGGGTCATAACCTGCTGATCAGAAAAATTGTTTCTGAGGAGTGCTCGAATGGATCAACAAATCACAGTATTGACTAGGTAGAGTCGTAGAAGCTGAAATACAGCGTGATCCTTTGATATCTATTGGATCCCTACAGTGATATGATTGACTAGTCTAGACCGGTGAACTTCCGTAGTGATTGTAAGGTACCACGTGGCTATCGATGACTGATACCACGTGGCAGCCAGTATAAAAGCCGTTAATTCTGATGTGCTGGATTCTCTGGTTTCGACAATAAAGCTACTGCTACACAGTTGCAACACTGGCGATCAGGACCCTCCAAGGACCCGAAGATGGACGCTCTCACCCCCCTACAAGCCGTTCAACCACAGCTCGATCTTCAATCGCGCCGTCATGGTAAAGGGAGCCGCTAATGAAGCTGATGGAGAAGATGTCCGAATCACCAGGTACGAGCAGTTCATTCGTGGTCAAAGACAAGCATGCAGCCTTCGACTCTCTCTACCGCGAATCGAGAAGTTCAGCTATGATCCCGATCGAGAGCGCACCTTCGACATCTGGCTTAAAGAGATACCAGGATCTATTCGATAACGAGTGCGTCTACCTCGATGAGAAGGACAAAACAAGACTGCTCGTTTCCCGTCTGGATGAGGACTGCCACCGGATACAGCTAACTGCAGCTATCTCACCCAAGCAACCATCGGAACTGTCTTGGAATGAAATCTTGGAAGTGCTAGAACGCCAATTCGGATCTGCCAAGACGCTATTCCGTCGTCGTTTCGAATGTTTCAAAATGAGATACGAAGGTCAAGAATTTAACCAACTACGAGCTTTTAGTAAAGACGAAGTGCACGGATGCCAACTGGGACACAATCGACTTTGATGGCCTCCAATGCCTATTCTACGTCGCTGGATTCCAAGGACCCGACTTCGCCGAATATGTACCCGCCTCTTGAGGAAGCTGGATGCAATCCGAAAAAAAGGTGACGTTGAAGGACCTCACAGCGGAATGTCAGCTGATCAAATCATACAAGAACGACTCCGGAATGCTATCTAGCAGTGAACTTTATTCGCCGAAAAACAAGATTTCGAAGCAAGAAGAAGTTCAAGCAGCAACAGAAGGATGAGCCGAACCTATCTCGGTATCGATCTGGGCAAGGAAATGATGCCGCCACGTGGTCGAGTACCCGTAATAGATGCAGACGTCAATCAACAACGTCATAGCCGCTCTCAAGAAGGATGACCACCCACATTTGGACGTTATCATCAACGGTCATCCAACCAACTTCTACTTGACACCGGCGCTGAAGTAGAACAATTAATATCTAAAAGCCAAATTGGAAGTATTAGAGGCTCGACTTCAGGGATACGGATTCGATTGGCTGGATATGCAGCCAATGGGTCTCCTCTCAAGTTTTGTGGATGCTTGGAAACTGAGTTCACGGTCAGCAATGCAACTGGAGGACTCTTCCGAGGACGTGGAATCTGCTTCGTGACTGAAGATGACTGCAACGTCTTTGGAATGCCATGGATCAAACAGCTACCGGACCTGTACAAAGCGGTAAAGAAATACCAAATCCATCGAACGATCGTGGTGGACCACATAGCCTGCCCACCGAGATGCCATCATCGCCAAGTTGAAGAAGAAATTTGCAACTGTCTTCACGTCAGGTCTTGGGACGCTGCACGACTACCAAGGCAACGTTGATGCTGAGAGCTGACGCTGTGCACGTGGATCGAGTACCCGTAATCGACGCAGACGTCAAATCAACAACGTCGTAGCCGTTCTCAAGAAGGAACGACACCACAATTTGACGCTATTCATCAACAATCATGCAATCCAATTCTACTTACACGGTGCGCTAACAGTAAATATCTCATAAAGCCAAATGCGAAGCATAACTTGTGGAGCGCCCTGATCGGATACGGACAGATGGGGTATGCAGCCAATGGATCTCCTCTCAAGTTTTGTGAATGCTTTGAAACTGAGTTCACGGTCAGCAATTCGACCGGAGGACTCTTCCGAGGACGTGGAAAAGGACGTTCAAAAGAAAACGACCTGTTCCTTAGGCCAATATTGCTGCTCTGGACAAGAAAATCGATCGTCTACTAGCAGAAGACGTACTGTCTCCCGTCACCTATTCGAAGTGGGCTGCACCTATCGTCGTGTTGAAGAAGGCAGATGGAACCATTCGCTTGTGCGCCGGAATTCTTTCGGCATTCGCGGCCTAAACGACGCGCTGATGCTGCACCAGCACCCACTGCCAACGCCCGAGGACGTCTTCACAAACTGAATGGTGGAACGGTATTCACCCAAATTGATCTCGCTGATGCCTACTTACAGGTCGAAGTCGACGCTGCTTCAAAGGAACTTTCGACGATCAACACGCACAGAGGACTATTCAGCTTCAATTGGGCTACCATTCGGTGTGAAATCTGCTAACCAGCATTTTTCAACAGATCGTGGACTCTATGATTGCTGGACTGGATGGATGTGCCGCCTACTTAGATGACGTCATCCGTGACTGGCCGCACTACAGAGGAGCACATCGCCAACTTGGAAGCCCTGTTCCAGAGAATTCACGAGTTCGGCCTCCGCGTCCGCATTGAAAAATGCAGCTTCTTGATGCCCCCAGATCCGCTATTTGGGCAATATCATCGATGCAAGTGGACGTCATCCGGACCCTTCCAAAACAGAGGTCATTGAGAAGATGCCGCACCAAAGGACATCGGACAACTGCGATCGTTTCGGGGATGGCTCAACTATTACGGAGCTTTCGTTAGGGAAAATGACTGCAAATCGGTGAGCACCGACTGGGCAACTTCTGAGGGGGAAGTGAGTATCATTCAGATGGTCAACCGACAGTCAACAAGCTTTTGATCGCACCAAGGAAGTTTTGTCGTCGGACTTGCTGCTTACACATTACGACCCCTCCAAAGAAATATCCGTCGCAGCTCATGCTTCTGAATATGGGATAGGAGCGTCATTATCTCATCGATTGCTCGGTGATGAATAACGGAGAAAGCCGATTTACACGCATGTCGCACCTTAACGGCAGCCGAGAAAAACTTACGGACAAGGTGGAGAAAGAAGGACTCGCCCTAGTCTTCGCTGTGAGAAAATTTCACCGCTACCTCCACGGACGCCATTTCAAATTACTGACGGACCACAAACCGATTCTAGCGATCTACGGCAGTAAGAAGGGTATACCTGTCTACACGGCAAATCGACTCCAGCGATGGTCTCTGATTATGATGAACTACAATTTTACCATCTAGTATCGAACCACAAAGAATTTTTGGCCAGGGCGAATTGCATACTCTTAGTCTGATGGCCGATCAACCGACTTCATTGGAGGATGCTGTCATCGCCGAAATGAACGTTGATGCCGTGAACTTATTTTCAAAAACGTCCACCAGACTACCAGTCACCGCGGACATTGCGGCCGAAACACTCAAGGATCATCATCAACTAGAAGAAGTTTTTCAATGCGTCAAAACTGGGAAATGGCCAAAGAAGCCGAATAATCAACTACCTCGCTTCAACTCTATGCGCAAAATCTCCGAGCACGAGATGCTATTTGTTTTGGAACCTGTCATCGTCATCCAGAATAAACTTGAAGCCGGCTGTCTCGCGGACTATCAACGATGGTCACCCCGGAATGTCAAGGATGAAGATGCTGGCCAGAGATTACTGCTACTGGCCACACATCGACAAGGATATCGAGGACAAAGTGAAATCCTGCAATCACTGTCAGGAAAATGCAAAAACACTGGCTTATTGGCAACGATCAGCGGCGTTCCGCCGGATCATCTCTCAATTTGGCTACCCGCAGACACTCGTGACGGACAATGGAAGCAATTCGTGTCGAAGGACTTTAGCGACTTCTGCCTACAGAACGGAATCAAGCACCTTCCTTCACCTCCAATCCATCCGCAATCAATGGCCAGGCGGAAACGCTTTGTCTGATACATTAAACGAGGACTTTTTAAGGAATGCCAAAAGGGGAGGCGAAAAAACCAGGGACGGGGGTTGCAAAAGTTCCTGTTCAACTATCGTCGAACGCCGTGCTCCACACTATCCGGGCAATCACCCGCTGATGTGTTTCTCAGAAGACGATTGCGCTCTACACTTACATTGCTTAAGCCTTCGGAACCAACCATTGGACTTCGAAGGAATCAAAAGATGGAAGCTCAATTCAACAAGCATCACGCAGCTCGCTCGAAGATGTTCGAGCCTGACGATCTTGTGTGGGCTCGCGACTACCGTGCTGGATATCCAAGATGGACCAAGGGACGGATACGAATTCGTCATGGGCAATGTACCTACGACGTTGAGGTTGATGGTCAACTCTGGAGACGACAAGCAAATCAACTGCGCCCCAGGACACCCTCGAAAGATTGCATGCCACTCAGATCAACTGGAACTGCCACTACTCAAGTGTCCATCTGCTGAGAAGCCAACACAGGATCAGGACATTGAATCGAATGAGAATCAACTGCCGACGCAGATCGACGACGAGCCAACTGCCGACAATCGACAATCACGAACTAGACGCCCTCCGGTACGACTACAGATTGATCCGAGGAAGAAGACATACACCGCCAGTGTACATCTTGGGAGGGAGGTGTTGGATCCCTACAGTGATATGATTAACTAGTCTAGACCGGTGAACTTCCGTAGTGATTGTAAGGTACCACGTGGCTATCGATGACTGATACCACGTGGCAGCCAGTATAAAAGCCGTTAATTCTGATGTGCTGGATTCTCTGGTTTCGACAATAAAACTAGTGCTACACAGTTGCAACAATATCGATTAAAGGCAAGAATCAGGATTAAATTGATGGGGTGATTCCACTCAAATGTGAAAGTAGGGATGGGAGGTGGACCGCCAGTGGAGAAAAAAAAGAAAATCCTGAAATACACAGGAAATACGAGCATTTTGCTCCATGCTGTGGAGAAGTTCAAAAGACAGGCAGGGAGATGAGAGATAATGTGAGCGCGGAGAGTGGTAGAGAAGTCCGAGAAGAGAGAGCATAGCAGATCAACGTGCGACGCAGACAAGATATCGAACGGTGGGCGGACCATGTTAAGTTTGGTGGAGTCTGTTAGAAGTCCATGGCGCCTAGGGTCCTAGTGACGCGTTTCGATGTAGAAAGGTGGCGCTACACTTGCGTACCCAGCACTTCTAGCCATGGTAAGGGCTTCTTAGGTGGGTCTGAGCCCAAACTTTGCCTTTCATTATTCTTTGGGCATAGTGCTCATAACGTTTACAGCCGTAGAAGGCGAAATGCGACAGTCACAGGTTACTGAACAAATCCTAATGGGGAAGGAAGGCCGAATACGTGAAAAAGCCACATCGTTGGGTAAGCGAGGTGATGGTGGTTTTCTTACAAATTAGCCTATTTCTTAGCAGCTATTGATGCGTGGCGATATCGTACGCAACAAAAGCAGAATACCACTAGATGTGCTTTCGAACGCCATGCTCGATCCTATCTTCTAACTCTAGAGCATTCAGGTATTTGGATGCCAAACAAATGATAAATCGCACTCAGAGTTCAAACTACCTCTTACAAGAAAGCGGCTCCTAAGTGGGATTTGCGCACGATATGTGATATGATATAAAAATAAGGAATTCCAGTAGAAATGCTCCTTTTCGAAAAAAAAATGCACTGGAGGCAAATGTGTGAGGTCTTCATATTGCAACACTTGTTTTGGTGCAAACGAAGTAAAGCATCTCGAAGCCGCCTCCAAACAGAGCTGCGCAAGAAAATGTTTCTTTCAATAGTATGGAAGTTGGGAAAGCAAAACTATGGGTTTCCCTGCTCAGAGTCATGAGTCTACTGAACAGCTGGTTATGCTTGAGGTAAGGTGTGGTGGTTTGGGCAGATCTTCCAGCGTTATCCAGAAGGTTTTGAGTGGAATCCTTATGCCACAAGTTTTCCAGTGGAAACATTCTACAGCACTGATTTGTAAACAATTTCTGAGGGAGTTTTCTCAAAGTCTACATTCCTGCACGCTTAAACGAAGCAAACGAGAACGCTTGCGTCTCAGCACTACGAGGGAAACAAATAACCAGAAGGACAGAATCATTATTCGCTGCCATCGCGGTGTTTTAGATTACATGTCGGGCAGATCTTCCCCTTTGATCGTGTGATTGTGAATAGTGTCACTAAGCAAAAGTGACACTATTGTCAATCAACCCCATGAGGAATGGTCAGTGTAGTGGCCTGAATAAAGTGTCAGATGATTGGAGCGCTCCAGTATCTCAGACGCGACGGGCTTCTTTGAATATATCTTGGCAGATGTGTTTTTGCAAAATTCATGGGTGGCTGTATAATTATACGTAGCAGTGTATATGTTTACTGCGTGTATGTATATTATATTCATATTAGTTGTAATGTAAGTATAATCCGCTATATTATAGCTAGTTTGTATTTTTATGTGGGCTACTTAGTCAATTTGCTTCGTTTGACGTACCTACTTTAATTTGAGTGACGCGCACATAAGAGAAGACAATCGAAGCATAGATCAAGTCTGTATCGATCATGGACATCACAAACTGCCAGAAGATTGCGCAAGGGCAGGGTGAATAGCGTTTGGGAAAATCCTCGATCACGGTATTGTGTGGGTTTACTGCCAAGTGTGAATGTGCGAGCGGGAGAAAGCGACCCAACAGGTGATGATCCTCACGAGTCGTAGAAAATTCTTGGCATATTTTCACCCTGCGAGAGAGGCAGTGAATTATGAACATGTTGACGACCGTGCCCGTTTTCGCAGTATGGCATGTGTACCGCGTTTTGTTTCTGGCCTCGTGAGTGTGATATGATAACACCACACGGCACACATGTGCACAATTTTGGGAAATATAGTGCCATGTATAGTAGGCAGGCGTTTGATTCGAGGATTCGAGGAAGTTCATAAAAATATAAGTCTAAAGACTTTTTCTCCATAAAAAAAAGTAAGCTTGCCTTTCTCATTGGCGGTTGAAGAGAAACAGAAAAGTAGAATTATGGTGTGATTAATCATAACTTAAGCAGCTTCAACAAACTCACTATCAACAAGACTCGGTAGATGACGAATTTTATATATAGTCACTGGATCGAATTCAGTGGCGTCGTCGGTCATATTCATGACAACGATCCCGGAGAAGTACTGCTGATAGTTGGCCAAACACGTAGCTGTCTCCTCCATTACGGACTCGTTCGCCACCGTAACGAAACGATCCAACAGAAAACACTGCAAATAGCAAAACTGCGATGGAAATCTAAGCTACACGAAATTTGGCTGCTCCACTGGTGGTACGTTCTACAGCCAGAAGGCGATTTTGACATTCTACTGATACTAGGGCAAGCTCTTCTTCCAGAATTTCTACCAAGAGCGGAAAACAGCCACTCGCTGGGGTTATTATATAAGATATATGTTTCATGAGGCACGGCACAATTCTCACCGTTTCTCATTCTAAACACAAGGGCGGGCAAAAATTACTGTGTCAGGTTGCCGCTGTCAATTTTTAATTGGAAACACCAGACATTTTCGATGTATGTTCTATGTATTTACTTTGATAATTCAGTAATCCGTCATTGATTTTCCCACATATATCAACTACAGAATGGGCAATTTCTCAGTTCCTCGAGAAGAGGTCGCTACTCTCCGCTCCGACGAACTGTCTGTATGTGTTGTACTGCAAGAAGACTCAGAGGCTCTTCGAAACTTCCCTCAACCACCATCACAAAGTTTAGCACGCCGTTTACCAGCATCAACAACCTGGATGTATAATAAAAGGTACTATTTCATAAATAATATCTCGAAGATACGTGCGAAGAAGACCAGCTTGCTCGATCCGCTGTTTGATCGCTGAAACCGCTGCCGAGCGCCTGTTGAGAAGATATTCTGCTATCTCGAATAGGGAGAACGATTGGACTAATCTGGTGAGAAGCCAACCAGCCATTCAGTGATGGTTTTCGCAGAAATCATAAGAGCAGGAATCACGATTCGAAGACACCTCGGACCTCTGCTGCTCAAGATATAAAACTGTAGTGAAAAATGTCTTGAACTCCTCTGTCTCGGTTGATGCTTTGAAAAGAAAGGATCCTCAATAGGGAAACATGGGACATCGGAGCAAGATTGGGCGCCCACTCACAATGCACAGATTGTCCAAAAATCGATGACAACAGAATATCGTGAATTCATCATATTAGAGAAGTGACAACATAGCTCTCCAACTCAAGTCTTGTGGAGTGCTCTGTATTGAGTGTGTCAAAGGCAAAGCATTGCTACAAGCATAATAGTAGAACATCGACTAGTTGAGCAGTCGCTCTTGAAACCTTGGACCTACTCGACAACACCTACCTACACAACAGAGTCGATGACTTTCTAGGAAGTCTTCGTTTATTTGTAAATGCAGAGAGGGTCCACTCCGCAGGGCATCATTGTTCTCTGTTCGACAACTTTACGCCATTATGATGCTGTTGCTAATTTGGCACTTCTCCGCTAATTGCTTTTTTATGACCAGTTCATTGCGTTACCGTAATTTTTGCCCACCCTCTAAACACAGCTATATCGTACGTAATCATCCACTCAGAAACCACACTTCTCCGTTCCGGTGAAGTCGAATTATATAGGGAGGGAGGCAGGGGTGGGGAGGGAAAGGACAAGTGAAAAAGACTGTACACATACTAGTGCATCTATACGAGTCAGCAGTCAATGTGTCTCAGACTGAAGGACAGATTGTCAATTGATTTCTCTTTTTTCATCACGCATGCAGGAACTGCCTTTAGAAGCAGGGTGAATATCGGTCGAGGAAATCCTCGACAGGGGGGTCGTACCTGTTGGGCTGGTCCATGGGGGGTCGTACTCTTGGGGTCAGTAACAGAAGTGGTATCATGGTGCAGATAGGTAATAGGGTATAGCGCAGCAGAAAATGAAAACATCCGAAAAAAACATGATATTAAATTTTCTTTGCAGGTTCAGTCGCTCCATTCCTCCACCTTCATGAGAAGGGCGTATTTGAAGGCAGTACAAAGAATGAAAGTGCATCCCCGCAAAGAAGAGTGCCACATGTGCGCACGCGCTGCAAAGGCACCTCCTCCGCCTATCACTCGCTCCTTCTCCCTTAATACCTCGCTGAGAATGACGCTGTTGTTAGGGACCCTGTCGGAAAAACGACAACCGTGAAGAAAAAGCGCTGGGCAAATGAAGTTGTTTTTTAGGTTACAGGAATAGCACAACACACTATGTCTACTACAATACAGTTTCGTTCGAAGGTCCCCATCATATAACACCTTTCAATCGATTCTGCAACTGTGAGTGGAGGAGGGATGCATGGCTTATACCAATACCAAATCGGATGATGACGATTGCTCCTATTCTTATTGTTTGCGTTCAAAGATATTGTTCTAGACACATTCCGAGTGTTGCCAACGAGTCACACTTGCAATGGTGAATGAGGGAGCGGATTTCCAGGTGGCCGGATCCGACCTCGATAGATCCTCGACGCAATTATCTCTTCAACCAAAAAGCTGTAGAAGAAAACTAAACAGACCATCAGGAAGCGCAAACCTTCCGCTTTCCAAAACTATCTTCCCTTTTTCAGGATCTTACAATATAAGAGATATATTGCTCTTGAAGTGGCAACAAACTCGCGTGAAAATTTCGGCCTCCTCGACATTTACTCGACGAAATTTGACAGACCCTATCTTTCTGCAAGGAAGGCTTCCAGAGCAATTTCGATGCTTGTTGGAAACGCGAAATCCAGCTCTATCTAACTCTACCTCAAGCTGCTTCAAAGGTTGTGAAATGGAGGAATGCAACCTTTTCATCGAGGGTGTAGATTCGGACGTTTTTTTTTGAAATTTCGGCAAATCTGACCCAGTGACAATCGCGCCGCAGCTGCCGTTGAATCGGCCTTGATATACACTCGGCTGTTTTGATATACTCAAGCAAGAATCAAGATTGAATCGCAACCCCGTGTCTTCAGGATTTCTGTGCGTTTCTGAACGAACCTCGCCTTGAGGTCACACAAAGTTAATGCCTCTTTCCTCGAGTCGATATTTCAGTATGTACACAAAAGTATGCAGCGATGGAAGACGTGCATAGATGACAAGATGAAGCGTCCTTAGCATTATTTTGCAGAATTTTTTTTGATTGTTTTGATTTTTTTGATTTTTGTTTTGCAGGATTTATTTTAATTGAATTAATTTGCTCTGTTAGAGGGGGTCGTGCCAGGATCTCGATTTCGGGGGGGGGGGTCGTACCTCTGCGACCACGTACTCGACACGACATGGTGTACTTATAGTTGAGCGTTTATTATAAGCTTCTTCCTCTTATTTCTTTAATACTATACTATACCCGTTTGTACCTCTACAACCGCCGCAATCTCCTCTTCTCTACACACTCTTTACGCCTTCCAGTGTTCACACTTGCGAGGTCAACACCTCGTGGATGGGATGCACAAAAACATTAGTCTACTTGCACCCAAATTTGCTAGCATAGGAAATCAAGAAGCTTTTGTGTTGTGTTGTAATTTCCAAAGAGTACGGCCCACGGCGTCGCTAAATGAGTCCCTGCATTCCCAAGTGGCCAAGTTGAAGCGCAGCTAGCATCTTCTATCCTACTTACCATTAGTAGCCGTTATATGATAGTAAAAGGCTCTTACCACAACTACGACATTCCTTTTCCCCATTAGTTTGCCCAAGGTCGGCTCCCATTTCCCTTTGCAACGGATAGGCAGACAAACACAGTTCATATCCCGCCATCTGAGTAAGCTTCCCTACGGATTTGACGGGCTGAGTAGGCGTGTCCACGGGTCTGACGGGGCCGCTGCATTTGATAGAAGTTGCGTGGTAAGCTGTTCACAGTATGCTTTGCTAATTTCCAGCGAAGTGTGGTGAAAACTGCCTATCCACTTGACTTTCTTCAAGACGGCGGCCGCCGCGCCAAATTCGTAAATATGCCTACCGGCGAGATTTGAAAAGTACATGAACAACAGCATTGCTGCTTTCATACAGTCGAGATCCGAAAGTTGGGGTAGGCGTGTCACCGGAAGTGACGTGCACTTGATAGAAGTTGCGTGGATAAGCTGTTGCCAGCATGCTTTGCTGATATCCAGCGATGTATGTTGGAAGCAGCTTATCCACATAGTTCTATCAAGTGCACGTCACTTCCGGTGACACGCCTACCCCAACTTACGGATATCGAGTATATTTGAGTGCGAGTACCACGTCAATCTATTCTTGATCCTTGCCTTTAATTGCACAAATCACACCATGCTATCACTCGCACCGGCTATAAAGGCCGTGATTTACCAAATGGCGAAAGGCAAACTCCGGGATTGAACTAGGTGCTATCAGCGCTCTTTAGTGATAGCTTAGCTGCGGAACGACCTGAAAGTGGGAAGGAAAGCAAGAGAAATCTTTGGAACGCTGAAATTAAGGCCTTAACCTTCAATAGGGTCGGATGTGGTACGATGGCGAGAAAGGGCGGTCAAAGAAGACAAAATACGCGAGAGAGCACGTCGCACGCTGATCTCACCACATCTCGCGGTGGGTGGGAAGCGTTGGATGGTCGATGGTTGCGGCCCGTAAGGATTAGCGCCCTAACCGCGCAATTTTCGCGACGAAGCTGGAGTGATCTAGGTAGGTACGGACCTTACAATTTCCCTCGTGGTATCCCTCCTACTAGTCGGGCCAATCCCGGGGTTTGCCTTCAAATATGCTTCAAAAGCGGATTATATTATGAAAATGCAGCCTATTGGAAAGTAAGTTGGCCAGTATTTAGTGGTAAGAGATGGATAGTTACGCACTAAAGAAGCAGTGGAAAAATGTGTTTTCTTCTTTCGTGCATAAGCGACGTAGAACCCAATAGAGGGACCCTTCCGTGCCCGTTGATTTGCACATTGATGCGACTCTCATCGGTGCTGCCCTCTTCAACGCTAACGCTCTCTCTGCTGAACGGCTAGAGACTCAGACACAAGACGACGCGAGAGGGGGCAAGAAGGGCCAATAGCGCGCCTACCAGGCCGCGAGAAGCCCATGCCGCATGTCGCTCAGCACCCTTATGACGTCCGCCTGTCTCTCAACTAGGCGATTTCCCCCTTCTTTAATCCTCGCCCTTATCGTGGAATCCCGTTTTAATTTATCGAGGATTCGCCAAGTCATTCGAGTTTATTACTTCGTTTCATACGTTTTTTTATGTTCTCGTTGACTATAGCAAAGAATAATTGTAGAAGTGAATGCAGACCTCTACGTATGACAAGATATACAGGGGGGGGGCAAAAAAGAGTCACTTTGCCCATGGCGCACATCATCAAATTTTTCGTCGCACAGGATGCCGGTTAATGAATGTTTTACGGCAGAATATTCCTTAGGTGTCCCCCATAAGCAGAAGCAGGCCCTCCTTCACTGCCCTCACCGTCTTCAGAATATGACGTCATCTGCCGTCACCGTCGAGCTCAACGAGGCTTACCGTAATCGCTCCGGCCTGAAGCTGCTACATAATTTCTTCAATCGATTAACTGGTGAATAGCTTCCAGAGACACTAGCTGTGACTGTGCAAGACCGCTTTTGACCAGCGTTTCAGGGACGTCGTAATGGTCTATGGTACCTCGACGACCTCGTTGAGCTCGTACCGTGAACCATGTTTCCGTGGGAAAATCTTCTGATGTCGTCGGTGTAGAAGGCTGTCATGTAACTTTTTGATAGATTGAATGTGCTCTTTAATATGCAATTGGGCTCATTTGATTTGGTTTCGCAGTTTGAGATTAATTGCGTTTTGAATGTGGAGAGAAGTGACTCTTTTTTGCCCCCCCCCCCTGTATGGTTTTAGTGAAACAACGTCTAAAATATTTTTAACGCTCATTACAGCTAACAATACTTATTTCGTTGCTGTAAAGTGTAGCTTTATTGAGCTTCTGCTACTGTCCCGAAACTGAAACATAAGCACTTGATAAAAATGATGTTGCGTTTTCGCGTAGTTACGGCTCAAAATCCACGGATAAAAGAGGCGGTTGCAATCAGAATCGTTACGGTCCCAAGCCTTAAAAGCGCGCTGTTGTCAGTGGTCAACACGTCAAAAACGGTAGTTTCTGGAGGATAAACTGGTGTCTTGAAATACCCACATCATTAAAATTGGAAGTGGGACGTGTATGCAAAGTGTTATACAGTGAATGGTAGCTCAGGAGATAGATTTGTTGTTGTGGTTGTGGTGGCACGGGGGAGGGGAGGTTCTCACCAGTCACATATTGGCTCAGTATGGCTTGATTCCCCTCGTTGTTGTACGCTAACGATAAGATCTGTTGCTGTTGCTTGGCTTAATATCTCAACCAACACATTTACGACGTGCTAACGGGCATACGCGTCAGAATTTTGTCGTC